AGATAATTTTCTGTCTCCTAAGGACTGGTCTGAAATCAAGCAATGGAAGAGAGGGTGTCAGAGGTTCCCAAAGGCTGAGGTGTTGACATGCTTCTGTTCGTTCCTCTGACAAATGTTGGATCCCCTTCTGTGTTTTGCTAACTCTGCAGTGTCAGCTGTGACTTGCTTGCCTAATAACAGCAGTCAGTAATTGGGTTTACTGCCTCATTTGGTGTCTGTTGCAATTTTTTTAAATGTCATTTTAGAAGTGGGGTGAGTATGTCTGCATATAAGTTATTTATTTATTTATTATTTTTTTTACATTTATTTATGTTTTTTGGTTTGTTTTTAGCATCCTTTTTTTAAAATTTTTATTGAAATATAGTTGATTTACAATGTTGTGTTAGTTTCAGGTGTACAGCAAAGTGATTCAGTTATATATATATGTGTGATTCAGTTATATATATATAATATATATGATTTAGATAGATATATATATGATTCAGTTATATATATATATGTTTTTCTTTTTTAGATTCTTTTCCATTATCAGTTATTATAAGATATTGAGTATAATTCCCTGTGCTATTAAGAATTCAGCTGCTACAACCTCTGTGGTGTGTAAACAGTCAAACAGCTTTGAACTGTCTGAACTCCTTAGCACTCTGCTTCCTCAAAGTTGGGGGAAGCAAGCCAGAACAGGTTTATATGTAGTAGGGGCGTGTTAGAGTGACTGCCGAGTTGATGAGCCAGGAGGATGCTTTGTCACTTTTTCTGAGGCCCAGCTGAATTAATTTTGCAAGAGGACACCCAAGGGAGAAGCCCTTGCAGGAACAGAAAGGTGAGACGAAGATAAGTATCAGATTTTTAGAATGGGAGAGATCTCTGAGATAGTCAAATCCAGCCTATTTATTTACAGATATGTGAACCAGGCCAATCTATTAGGGATTTCAGCAACATTCATTAAGTACCTATTAGAATGCTACATGCTGTGTTGGAGCTAGAAGAAGTAGATGATGTATTAGGGTTGGAGATTTTATCTATTTATGTAGAATTTATTATAAGAAATTGGCTTATGCAATTATGTAGGCTGACAAGCCCCAGGATCTACAGTTGGTACAGTGGAGGCCCAGAAGAGCTGATGGTATGGTTTTAGTTAGTCTGGAGGCCTGACAATAGGGAGAGCTGATGGTGTAAGTTCCAGTCTGAAGGCTGGCAGGCTTCAGACAAGAAGAGCTCATGTTTTGGTTTGAGTCTGAAAAAAGGAAAAAGCCAATGTCCTAGCTCAAAGCCTGAGGCAGGAGGAATTTCCTCATATTTGTTGGAGAGTCAGCCCTTTTGGTCCAGCTTGCTTTCAGCTGATTGGGTGAGGCCCACCCAAATTGGAGTGGGCAATCTGCTTTACTCAGTATATTGGTTTAAATGTAAAAGTCATCCAGAAGCATTCTCACAGGAACATGCAGAATAATACTTGACAAAATATCTGGACACCTCTGGCCCAGTCAGGTTGACGCATAAAATTAGCCCTCACCAATGACTTTTCCAAACACAGATGACACAGATGTAGACTTTAAATTCAGGTCTCCTGACCACTGCCCAGAGTTCTTCTATCTACTTCATGTTCCTGTTGTCTGACTCATCTTTAACAAATGAATAATAAAGACAAAAATAACTATAAAAATTGATAAATGAGACTTCATCATTTATCAAAACTTCCACTCATCAAAAGACATCCCCAAGAAAGTGAATAGACAAGCCACAGACTAGTAGAAGGTATTTGCAAAAATATATTTCTGACAAAGGACTAGTACCCAGGATGTATAAGGAACTCTTAAGTCGATATTAAGAAGCCAAACTAATAAAAAAAAATCAGCAAACAATTTGAACAGGAACTTCACAAATGAATAGACAGTCCATTAGCACCTGACAAGATGCTTAACATCATTAGTCATCAGGGTAATGCAAGTTAAAATAATGAAGAAACAACAAAGCACATATATGAAGAACATTAAAATAAATGCTGAAATAAAAAATGAATGCCAGGGGCTTCCCTGGTGGCACAGTGGTTGAGAGTCCGCCTGCCGATGCAGGGGACTCGGGTTCGTGCCCCGGTCCGGGAAGATCCCACATGCCGCGGAGCCTCTGGGCCCGTGAGCCATGGCCGCTGAGCCTGCGCGTCCGGAGCCTGTGCTTCGCAACGGGAGAGGCCACAACAGTGAGAGGCCCGTGTACCGCAAAAAAAAAAAAAAAAAAAAAAAAAAAATGAATGCCAGATTTCCTAATAACTGGTGCTGGACTGAAGGGTGGAGGGCAATTGTTTGATGCTCTGCACTGTCACCACAGTCCACACAAACCTGGAAATCCTGTCTTTTTGCTTGCTTAACCTTTGGCCATAGAGTGTACTTCGAACGCTTCTGTCCGTAAGTGTTCAGTGTGTGAAAGCAATCTGGTGATTGCACATAAGTTTTCATTAGTTTTCAGCCTAGTGATATGGAAAGGTCAGCTTGTTTAACTTGTTTTATACATTCAGTCATAATCATGAATCTTCTAAAAATTTCTGTCCTTGAGGACAAACAGAATTCCACGAAAGGTTTTTTTTGAAAGATGTTACTTTCACGTCAGGGGGAGGGTAGCTAACATTTATTGACCATTGCATTGTATGTTTTAATTTATTACTCTTGACAGCCGTATTGTATGTACTCATTTTCCCCATTTTGCTGGTAAGGAAACAGAGACCCAGAGTGATTAAGGAACCTGTCCAAGAACACGGAGGTAGCAAATGGCAAAGTCAGGATGGGAATGCAGGTCTACTTGGTCCTGGATTAGCCACTGTGTGTATTATTTTAATTAGTGTTTTCATCCTTCATCCATTCATTTAGTCATCACTAGGTCTATGCCAGTTTCTCCTCTAAGCTGAGAGGGTCTCAGCTCTCATGCGAAACTCTCATGATGGGAGAGGACAGGTAATAAACAAGAAAAAGGAAAATAAATCATTTCAAAGAATGATAACGGCTGTGAACACAGTAAACCAGAGCAATGGGCTAGACAGTGATGGAGGGGTTTCCTATTGAGAGACTTGCCAGAGAGGGTCTCTGCTGGACCAGTGTGAAGATTAGCGCAAACCTCTCATCTCAGCACTAAGCTCTGCTTCCTCTTGGTCAGTACCCCTATACTCGAAGACAGGTGTGTTATGTAAGTGTGAGCAGAGCAGATCTTAGCAGTTTGGAATCATCTCCAATACGTTTTTCTGCCATATTCTTTTCTAATATGCTCTTGGATCTAAATGGGAAAAAAAAGAAAATTCAACAGTTAAGGAATAACTGTTCCTGATTGCTATTCATTTACCCATCTCCCAGGGTGGGACTGCCTCACTAGGGTTGTCACAATGACTGGGGAGCACTTTAGGCATTTATTTGGGAGCTGCCAAAAACAGGACTGCTGAGGTCCAGAGGGTAAACCCACCATCAGCAAAGAATTTTCCTGCCCATATAACCCTGGTACCCGGTTAAGAAACACTTGGTGAATCATACAATGGGCTTAAGCTTATGTGTATTGAAGTCTTGTGTGTTGAGGGGGTGAGATTTGGCCAGTGAGGTCTGAGTTCTTTTGTCCTTGGATTTCACTTAGGCCTTTCCCATTCTGTGACAAAGGCCAGGATTCTGACCAGATCCAGTTGATGATGTTCTCTGCTTTCCCTCTTGTTATCTGGGTACATGAAATGGCAAGACAGAAAATGGTTTATTGAGTTTGGTTTTCTTTCCTTGTATATAAAATTTTAAAAGCTGTAGCCCTTTGGCTCGCAAGTCTATGCTCTAGTTGAGAGAAAGATGGCTATTAAGAGCCATGTTTTCATCTGCAATTGGAGAGCCCGTCAGAGAGAAACCAGGTTGGCAGATGTGACGGGGTTGCCTTACATAAATCACCTTCCATTGTCGCGGTGGGCATATGGCCAGTGAGTGTCCTAATTATTGAATGGCTTTTATAGCCCCATTATTTATAATCACTTTTGAATAGCGGCTGAAAGACAGTGAGATGGAATGAAAATAGTTTAGTGTGAAAATGATAATCACTTATGGAATTACGGGGATTAGAAATATCTGATGATCAGCCTATGAATTAGGAACTCTCTCTCCCAAATACTTTTTAGCGGGGTATACTACATCCCATACTCTCTATAAATGAGAACTGTGGTCAATCCAGAGAGATGAATCTGTATAAGAATTCTTACCTACTGGATTTGCAACAAACAGCCCGAGAACCCTGCACGTAGGCACATTCACATAAGTGCAATATATACATTTTTTATAAATAAATTCTATTTTGGAATATTTTAGATGCAAAAAAGTTGCAGAGATCATACAGAGAGTTCTGGAATCTCCTTCGCCTAGTTTTCCCTAATGCTGACATCTTGCATAACCACGATACATTTGTCATAAGTTGCTTTCACTAGCATCCTTTTTCTACCCCTAGATCCAGTGCAGGACCCCATGTTGTATTTATTTGTCATGTCTTAAACTCTTTTAGTCTGTATCGTGTTCTTAATCTTTCCTTGCTTTTCCATAACCTTGATAGTTTTGAAGAATATCAGTACATGGTTTTAACAAAAAGTTTCACTCTTCACTGCTGGATAAACACCTGGTTTGGAGTCACAGAGATGGAAGGGGGAAAGTGTAGAGCTTTGGAGTTAGTACATGTGGGTTCTAATCCCGCGTCTGGTCCCGTCAGCACTGGGAGTCTCACTTTCTTCATCTGTTTTAAAGTGGGAATAGTCCCACCTTTCTCACTGGGTTTTATAAGGTTTAAATGAGATAATGTTCATGAAAGAGATTTATGATAAAGCATCAAACGTATGATCATCAAAGGGAAATTATTTAAAACGTATGAGTTTTTCTATCCTGCAGTTTTGTATAAGCTGGAGATTGATACCAGTAACAGACTTTATTCCAGGAATCATTTAATAAATTTCTCAGAAGGCTCTCTAAGTCTTTAAATGTGTGAAATTGTTCTACTGTCTAGAGGTCATGGGGATGGGGTATTTTTAAGCCACTGAGTCTTTTATGAAAGCCCCATCGGTGCAGACCCATGGCTCGCTCTCCTACTCTTGCTCTAAGCACATAGTTTATACACCAGCGCTACCTGCGTACACACAGATGCACAATCATGCAAACCCTGGCAACCTTAGGAGAACATAGCATGTTTTTGAGAGAGACACAGTCCTCTGGAATGTGGGTGATCACGAACTACAGCTTTTGGGCCAAGTCCAGACGGCTGCCTGTTTTTGTAATAAAGTTTTATTAGAATACAGCCAGGCCCAGTTGTTTACATCTTGCCTAGAGTTGATTTTCCTGCTAAAAAAGCAGAGCGAAATAGTTGGAACATAGACTTTACAGCCTGCAAAACCTAAAATATTTACTATCTGACCTTTCAGAAAAATTTTGCCTGCTTCTGCTGTAGACTCTTACTGATGCAAGATGGTTTTCTTTCCATTCTCGCCTGTCTGGAACTATATATTGTGATTCTCTCGCTTGTTTCCAGCTTTGAAAGATTTTTAAAGAGGGGCGCTGTGTAAAACATAGACTCATAAAGCTGCTTTGCTCAGGGGAAATGGTCTCACCTTTTTCAGACCCATCAGATGATGTGCAGATATCGCTGGTGGTCTCTGTTCTCAAAATCCAGCAGAAATTAGAGTGGTGTGTGCTGATGCTACCCTGCTTGTATGAGATTCCCCAATGTAAGTCAGAGGACCTGGAACTCTGGCCCCAGCCTACTGTTGCTTGAATGATATCGGACCATATTAGAATATAGTTTACCACCCAGATTATCCATTGCTGTCTGAGAATAAATTGGAGTGAGGTTAGGAGGGTAGGGGAACAGCTGTGTTAATTACTATGGATTTTCAAGGCTATAGAATGCCAGTGGGATCTCAGTTTGTATTTGCATAAGCACATTTAAAACTTCTTACTTGTTAGCAGTGTCCTAAGACCCAAGAGTACAGGGCTTCAATCCAGGGTGCCGGTTCCTAGGAAGGTACCTTGCTTACACTCCCTGGCTGAGTGTTGTCTGGAAGCTAATGCTGTTCAGATGTCACTTTCTTGGTTTCTGCATATGTTGAGCGTCAACAGGATATTGGGACAACTGTACAATGTACCAGTTTCATGGGAAGTCAGTCTTTGGTTTTTATATTGAGATTCACATAGATGTTTTCTAGTGGCATGGTGAGTGTAACTGCTTAAGAAAAAAATCATTTCATTTTAGTCTTTTTTTTTTAAACATCTTTATTGGAGTATAATTGTTTCACAATGGTGTATTAGTTCCTACATTATAACAAAGTGAATCAGCTATACATATACATATGTCCCCATATCCCCTCCCTCTTGTGTCTCCCTCCCACCCTCCCTATCCCACCCCTCTAGGTGGTTACAAAGCACCGAGCTGATCTCCTAGTGCTATGTGGCTGCTTCCCACTAGCTATCTGTTTTACATTTGGTAGTGTATATATGTCAATGCTACTCTCTCACTACGTCCCAGCTTACCCTTCCCCCCACCCTGTGTCTTCAAGTCCATTCTCTACATCTGTGTCTTTATTCCTGTCCTGCCCCTATTCCTGTCCTTCCCCATGTTCTTTATAACCTTTTTTTTTTTTTTTTTTTTTTTTGATTTTCTATATATGTTTTTTCAAACGGTGTTTTTTTTTCTCTTTTTGACTTACTTCACTCTATGACAGACTCTAGGTCCATCCACCTCATTACAAATAAATCAGTTTCGTTTCTTTTTATGGCTGAGTAATATTCCATTGTATATATGTGCCATATCTTCTTTATCCATTCATCTGTCGATGGACACTTAGGTTCCTTCCATGTCCTGGCTATTGTAAATAGAGCTGTAGTGAACACTTTTTGAATTATGGTTTTCTCAGGGTATATGCCCAGTAGTGGGATTGCTGGGTCGTATGGTAGTTCTATTTTTAGTTTTTTAAGGAACCTCCATACTTTTCTCCATAGTGGCTCTATCAATTTACATTCCCACCAACAGTGCAAGAGGGTTCCCTTTTCTCCACACCCTCTCCAGCATTTATTGTTTGTAGATTTTTTGATGATGGCCATACTGACCGGTGTGAGGTGATACCTCATTGTAGTTTTGATTTACATTTCTCTAATGATTAGTGATGTTGAGCATTCTTACATATGTTTGTTGGCTATCCGTATATCTTCTTTGGAGAAATGTCTGTTTAGGTCTTCTGCCCATTATTGGATTGGGTTGTCTGTTTTTTTGATATTGAGCTGCATGAGCTGCTTGTATATTTTGGAGATTAATCCTCTGTCAGTTGCTTCATTTGCAAATATTTTCTCCCATTCTGAGGGTTGTCTTTTTGACTTGTTTATGGTTTTCTTTGCTGTGCAAAAGCTTTTAAGTTTCATGAAGTCCCATTTGTATATTTTAATTTTCATTTCCATTTCTCTAGGAGGTGGAACAAAAAGATCTTGCTGTGATTTATGTCAGAGTGTTCTGCCTATGTTTTCCTCTAAGAGTTTTATAGTGTCTGGCCTTACATTTAGGTCTTTAATCCATTTTGAGTTTACTTTTGTGTATGGTGTTAGGGAGTGTTCTAATTTCATTCTTTTACATGTAGCTGTCCAGTTCTCCCAGCACCACTTATTGAAGAGGCAGTCTTTTCTCCATTGTATATTCTTGCCTCCTTTATCAAAGATATGTTGACCATATGTGTGTGGCTGTATCTCTGGGCTTTCTGTCCTGTTCCATTAATCTTTATTTCTGTTTCTGTGCCAGTACCATACTGTCTTGTTACTGTAGCTTTGTAGTATAGTTTGAAGTCAGGGAGACTGATTCCTCCAGCTCCGTTTTTCTTTCTCAAGATTGCGTTGGGTATTCGGGGTCTTTTGTGTTTCTGTACAAATTGTGAAATTGTTTTTTTCTTTTCAAATTGTGAAATTTTTTGTTCTAGCTCTGTGAAAATGCCATTGGTAATTTGATAGGGATTGCATTGAACCTATAGATTGCTTTGGGTAGTATAGTCATTTTCACAATGTTGATTCTTCCAATCCAAGAACATGGTATATCTCTCCATCTGTTTGTATCATCTTTAATTTCTTTCAGCAGCATCTTATCATTTTCTGCATACAGGTCTTTTGTCTCCTTAGGTAGGTTTATTCCTAAGTATTTTATTCTTTTTGTTGCAATGGTAAATGGCAGTGTTTCCTTAATTCCTCTTTCAGATTTTTCATCATCAAGTATAGGAATGCAAGAGATTTCTGTGCATTAATTTTGTATCCTGCTACTTTACCAAATTCATTGATTAGCTCTAGTAGTTTTCTGGTAACGTCTTTAGGATTCTCTATGTATAATAGCATGTCATCTACAAACATTATCTTTTCTGCTTTGGATTCCTTTTCTTTCTTTTTCTTCTCTGATTGCTGTGGCTAAAACTTCCAAAACTTTGTTGAATAATAGTGGTGAGAATGGACAACCTTGTCTTGTTCTTGATCTTAGAGGAAATGGTTTCAGTTTTTCACCATTGAGAACGATGTTGCCTGTGGGTTTGTCATACATGGCCTTTATGATGTTAAGGTAAGTTCCCTGTATGCCTACTTTCTGGGGTTTTTTTTATCATAAATGGGTGTTGAATTTTGTCAAAAGCTTTTTCTGCATCTATTGAGGTGATCATATGGTTTTTATCTTTCAGTTCATTAAGATGGTGTGTCACATTGATTGATTTGCATATATTGAATCCTTGCATTCCTCGGACAAACCCCACTTGAACATGGTGTATGATCCTTTTAATGTGCTGTTAGATTCTGTTTGCTAGGATTTTGTTGAGGGTTTTTGCATGTATGTTCATCAGTGATATTGGCCTGTAGTTTTGTTTCCTTGTGATATATTTGTCTGGTTTTGGTATCAGGTAATGGTGGCCTTGTAAAATGAGTTTGGGAGTGTTCCTCCCTCTGCTATATTTTGGAAGACTTTGAGAAGCATAGGTGTTAGCTGTTCTCTAAATGTTTGGTAGAATTCACCTGTGAAGCCATCTAGTCCTAGCCTTTTGTATGTTGGAAGATTTTTAATCACAGTTTCAATTTCAGTGCTTGTGACTGGTCTGTTTATATTTTCTATTTCTTCCTGGTTTAGTCTCGGAAGGTTGTGCATTTTTAAGAATTTGTCCATTTCTTCCAGGTTGTCCATTTTATTGGCATAGAGTTGCTTGTAGTAATCTCTCATGATCCTTTGTATTTCTGCAGCATCAGTTGTTACTTCTCCTTTTTCATTTCTAAATCTGTTGATTTGAGTCTTCTCCCTTTTTTGTTTTTTCTTTTTTTGTGGTACGCGGGCCTCTCACTGTGTGGCCTCTCCCGTTGTGGAGCACAGGCTCCGGACGCACAGGCTCAGCGGCTATGGCTCACGGGCCCAGCCGCTCCACGGCACGTGGGATCCTCCTGGACCGGGGCATGAACCTGTGTCCCCTGCATCGGCAGGTGGACTCTCAACTGCTGTGCCACCAGGGAAGCCTCCTGTTTTTCTTGATGAGTCTGGCTAATGGTTTATCAATTTTGTTTATCTTCTCAAAGGACCAACTTTTAGTTTTATTGATCTTTGCTACTCTTTCCTTCATTTCTTTTTCATTTATTTTTGATCTGATCTTTGTGATTTGTTTCCTTCTGCTAACTTTGGGGTTTGCTTGTTCTCTAATTGCTTTAGATGCAAGGATAGGTTGTTTATTTGAGATGTTTCTTGTTTCTTGAGGTTGGGTTTTATTGCTATAAACTTCCCTCTTAGAACTGCTTTTGCTGCATCCGATAGGTTTTGGGTAGTCATGTTTTCATTTTCATTTGTTTCTAGGTATTTTTTGATTTCCTCTTTGATTTCTTCAGTGATCACTTCGTTATTAAGTAGTGTATTGTTTAGCCTCCATGTGTTTGTATTTTTTACAGATTTTTTTCCTTTAATTGATATCTAGTCTGATAGCATTTTGGTTCGAAAGATACTTGATTTGATTTCAATTTTCTTAAATTTACCAAGGCTTGATTTGTGACCCAAGATATGATCTATCCTGAAGAATGTTCCATGAGCACTTTAGAAGATAATGTATTCTGTTGTTTTTTGATGGAAAGTCCTATAAATATCAATTAAGTCCATCTTGTTTAATGTGTCATTTAAAGTTTGTGTTTCCTTATTTATTTTCATTTTGGATGATCTGTCCGTTGGTGAAAGTGGGGTGTTAAAGTCCCCTACTATGATTGTGTTACTGTCGAGTTCCTCTTTTATGGCTGTTAGTATTTGCTTTACGTATTGAGGTGCTCCTATGTTGGGTGCATAAATATTTACAATTGTTATATCTTCTTCTTGGATTGCTCCCTTGATCATTATGTAGTGTCCTTCTTTGTCTCTCATAATAGTCTTTATTTTAAAGTCTATTTTTTCTGATATGAGAATTGCTACTCCAGCTTTCTTTTGATTTCCATTTGCATGGAATATCTTTTTCCATCCCCTTACTTACAGTCTGTATGTGTCCCTAGGTCTGAAGTGGGTCTCTTGTAGACAGTATATATAGTGCTCTTGTGTTTGTATCCATTCAGCCAGTCTGTGTCTTTTGGTGGGAGCATTTATTCCATTTACATTTAAGGTAATTATCGATATGTATGTTCGTATTACACTTTTTTAATTGTTTTGGGTTTGTTCTTGTAGGTCTTTTCCTTCTCTTGTGTCTCCTGCCTAGAGTAGTTCTTTAGCATTTGTTGTAAAGCTGGTTTGGTGGTGCTAATTCTCTTAGCTTTTGCTTGTCTCTAAAGGTTTTAATTTCTCCATCAAATCTGCATGAGATCCTTGCCGGGTAGAGTAATCTTGGTTGCAGGTTTATCCCTTTCATCACTTTAAATATGTCCTGCCAGTCCCTTCTGGCTTGCAGAGTTTCTGCTGAAAGATCAGCTGTTAACCTTATGGGGATCCCCTTGTATGTTATTTGTTGTTTTTCCCTTCTTGCTTTTATATTTTTTCTTTGTATTTAATCTTTGATAGTTTAATATGTGTCTTGGTGTGTTTCTCCTTGGATTTATCCTGTATGGGACTCTCTGTGCTTCCTGGACTTGATTAACTCTTTCCTTTCCCATATTAGGGAAGTTTTCAACTATAATTTCTTCAAATATTTTCTCAGTCCTTTTCTTTTTCTCTTCTTCTGGGACCCTTATTATTCGAATGTTAGTTCGTTTAATGTCGCAGAGGTCTCTGAGACTGTCCTCAGTGCTTTTCATTTTTTTATTCTGCTCTGCGGTATTTATTTCCACTATTTTATCTTCCAGGTCACTTATCCATTCTTCTGCCTCAGCTATTCTGCTATTGATTCCTTCTAGAGAATTTTTAATTTCATTTATTGTGTTGTTCATCATTGTTTGTTTGCTCTTTAGTTCTTCTAGGTCCTTGTTAAACGTTTCTTGTATTTTCTCCATTCTATTTCCAAGATTTTGGATCGTCTTTACTATCATTACTCTGAATTCTTTTTCAGGTAGACTGCCTATTTCCTCTCCATTTGTTTGGTCTGTTGGGTTTTTACCCTGCTCCTTCATGTGCTGTGTGTTTCTCTGTCTTCTCATTTTGCTTATCTTACTGTGTTTCTTTGGTGTCTCCTCTTCACAGGCTGCAGGTTCATAGTTCCCATTGTTTTTGGTGCCTGTCCCCAGTGGCTAAGGTTGGTTCAGTGGGTTGTGTAGGCTTCCTGGTGGAGGGGACTGGTGCCTGTGTTCTGTAGGATGAGTCTGGATCTCTTCTTTCTGGTCTGCAGGACCACGTCCGGTGGTGTGTTTTGGGGACTCTTTGACCTTATTATGATTTTAGGCAGCCTCTCTGCTAATGGTGGGGTTGTGTTCCTGTCTTGCTAGTTGTTTGGCATAGGGTGTCCCACACTGTAGCTTGCTGGTCGCTGAGTGGAGCTGGGTCTTAGCGTTGAGATGGAGATCTGTGGGAGAGCTTTCGCTGTTTGATATTATGTGGAGCCGGGAGGTCTCTGGTGGACCAGTGTTCTGAACTCGGCTCTCCCACCTCAGAGGCACAGACCTCACACCTGGCTGGAGCACCAAGACCCTGTCAGCCACACGGCCAGGTACGTGGGGTGTTTCTTGCCTTTTGGGAAGTCTGAGCTCTTCTGCCAGTGTTCCGTAGATGTTCTGTAGGAGTTGTTCCACATGTAGATGTATTTCTGATGTATTTGTGGGGAGGAAGGTGATCTCCGTGTCTCACTCCTCCACCATGTTGAGGGTCCTCCCTTACTCTTTTGTATTTAGAAAAATTTCAAACCCATGTGGCTAGTGAAAAAAACAGCATAATGTCAGTGACCAGCTATTAACATCTTGCCACACCCATTTCATCTCTCTCTATTTACACATATTTTCACTTTGCCATATTACCTGGGTGATGGGGCAATTTGTGAGCCTAGTTTATTCTTCTGTAAAATAGGATTGGAAATAGAACCAACCTCATTGGGTTGGAGTGAGGATTGTGAAGTTGTTACTTAGCTCTGTGGCTGGCGTGTCAGAAGTGCTCCATCAATGTTCACTGTCAACACTTGAGTCCAGCAGATTGCCCAAGCACAGTTCTCGTAGATCCTAATGTCTTTTAAAGTATTTAGTGTCTTCTTGAAGGACGCACACACATCTTCAGATTCCATTCAAGATTCTGAGTGTAGAGATATCTGACTTCAGCTATTGGTGAGGTTATGCAGCTGTTTGTTGGTTAGGGTAGGTATACGCTCACATCAGCTATGTAATGTTGCCAGCAGGGGAACATTGTCTTTCTTCTTTCTTTTCGTAAGTATTTTTTTTGTTTTCAGAACAGGTGTTATTCTACTGCACTGGTTCAACTGGAATAAATATAAGAATCACAAAAGGCTGGAAATAATGAGAAAAATAGAGATGATGGAATTTAAATCTTGTGTTTCTTTCCATGCTTAATTCTAGGTTCTTCTCACTGTGGGATAAAATTTGTTATCAAAAGATTGACCAGGAAAAAAAGAGCATAGAAGGCAGGTGGGAAATAATAATACAGCAGATATCCTGAATTGCTGCCAAAATGTTTCATGCTTGTCCCTGTGGGGAGTTAAATGTTATAGTAGTTTCTAGAGCTTCATCAGCATACGTAAATCTGTCCCACAGTCTCTATTTCACATGACAGACTTGCCGCACATTTTTCTTTAATTTTCTTTTCTTTTTTTAAAAAGTTATACAGAAACAAGGCTAAAAGAACAACAGTCTTTGTATCACTAGGGGAAAGGATTCAATCTCTGCAGGTCTGATGAAGTACCACCTGCCTGGAGTCATGTGTGCTGTTTCTCTTATTATAAGATGTTATTACTAGTCCACTAGTGGAGTGGCAGCATCTCTTGAGGTTTGCAAGAGATTAGAGAAATAGGAAATATGCTCATCCTCAGAGCCTAGCTCCCTACATTTTGTTAAGGGACTTTGTTGGGCTTACATCATTGGTTTGAAAACTTTAGCATGTATTAGAATCACCTGGATGGCTTGTTAAACCAGAGATTGCTAAACCTGAGCTTCAGAGGTTCTAATTCAGTAAGTCTTGGAGTCCAGTAATTTGCGTTTCAACAAGCTTCTACCTAATGCTATTTAGGCTTATCTTGGAGACAATGAATACCCTCTACTCTAAGAATTACACAAGGAGAATTGCTCATGTAGAGATGCAGGACCAACATCTGAACCAGGAGTTAGTCAACGATGCCCCTTGGGCCAAATCTCCTGCCTGTGTTGGTAAATAAAGTTTTATTAGAAAACAACCTTGTTTACATATAATCTATGGCTACTTTCATACTACAAAGGCAGAGTTGACTAGTTGGACAGAGTGCATATATGATCCCAAAGCCGGAAAATGTGTGCTATCTGGCTGTTGGCCCTTTACAGAAAATTTTTGCTGACTCCTGACCTAGACCAATGCTTGCATGTCATTTGGGGGAAGGGACTTGGAAGTAATTCTGTAAGTAACTCGCACACTGAGTGTTCCCAACTTGTGTGTGTTTTAGACGAAAGGGTGCTTTTGTTTTAATTTTTTTACTTAAATACATATGATAATTGAATTCATTCATTATTTCTCAACAAGCCATTCTCCAGATTAATTTTCTCATCAGAAGCAACAGTTTCTCAGAATGAAAAGAAACTTAGTTTTACCATCCATGCTTCCTCTCTAATACAGGGCTGGCATCTCTTTGAATTATTGGTGGGAAGTTTTACACGCAGGCTCAGCGGCCATGGTTCACGGGCCCAGCTGCTCCACGGCATGTGGGATCTTCCCGGACCGGGGCATGAACCCGTGTCCCCTGCATCGGCAGGCGGACTTTCAACCACTGTGCCATCAGGGAAGCCCAGTGGAAAGTTTTTTAAAATCACATAATTAAAAGGAGAAAATCATTCTCATTTGAACACTGTCATTGTCAAATAAGTGATATTATATTTCCTTCAGAAATTGCTGAATGGAGTGCAGTTTGTCAATATGTATGAAGAATCTTTAAAAATAATGTTCATACTCATTGCTTTATTTATTCTGCATTCAGGAAGTTTCAGCAAATATTCATATTCAAGGTTTTCCATTACAGCATTGTTTATAATCGCTTTGTTTAAAGGAAAGATACCTAAATATCTATTAATATAAAGCTAATAATATTACGGTGAATCCACACTGCTATTTTGGAGCCATTTAAAATCAAGCTGGATGAAGGGAAGCTGATACAACCTTTTTGGAGGGGATTTTCTGTCAAGAGCCTTAAACATTTTTATGCCTTTTGTCCCAATATTTTTACTCTAAGCATCATGAGAAAGTAATCAGAAATAATGGTAGATTTTGGATAAGGAGGATAAACACAGTGGAAACAATTCATATGCTTAATAATTGGTAAGGATTACATAGGTTGTGATCCACTGATAAGCTAAAATACTATGTAACTATTAAAAGTATATTCTGAGTACTAATAGTATATTGGAGAGCTGAGGCTCCGGCATCGGTCAGAGCGCAGGGAGAGGACTGGGGTTGGCGGCGTGAACGCAGCCTGAAGGGGGTTAGTGCACCACGGCTAGCCGGGAGGGAGTTGGGGAAAATGTTTGGACCTGCCGAAGAGGCAAGAGACTTTTTCTTCCCTCTTTGTTTCCTGGTGCTCGAGGAGAGGGGATTAAGAGCTCTGCTTAAAGGAGCTCCAGAGACGGGCGTCAACCGCGGCTAAAAGCGTGTGGACCCCTGAGACGGGCATAAGACGCTAAGGCTGCTGCTCCTGCCGCCACCAAGAAGCCTGTGTGCGAGCACAGGTCACTCTCCACACCTCCCCTCCCTGGAGCCTGTGCAGCCCACCACTGCCAGGGCCCCGGGATCCAGGGACACCTTCCCCGGGAGAACGCACGGCATGCCTCAAGCTGGTGCAATGTCACGCCAGGCTCTTCCGCAGGCCCACCCCGCACTCCGTACCCCTCACTCCCCTAGGCCTGAGTGAGCCAGAGCTCCCGAATCAGCGGCTCCTTTAACCCCGTTCTGTTTGAGTGATGAACAGACGCCCTCAGGCAACCTACTCGCAGTTGCGGGGCCAAATCCAAAGCTGAAACCCCGGAGCTGTGCGAACAGAGAAGAGAAAGGGAGATCTCTCCCAGCAGCCTCAGGAGCAGCGGATTAAATCTCCACAATCAACTTGATGTACCCTGCATCTGTGGAATACCTGAATAGACAACGAATTATCCCAAATTGAGGAGGTGGACTTTGAGAGCAAGATTTATTATTTTTTTCCCCTTTTCCTCTTTTTGTGAGTGTGTATGTGTATGCTTCTGTGTGAGATTTTGTCTGTATAGCTTTGCTTTCACCGTTTGTCCTAGGGTTCTATCTGTCCATTTTTGTTTTTTTTTACTTAAAAAATTTCTTTTTCTTAATAATTATCTTTTTATTTTAATAACTTTATTTTATTTTCTTTTATCATCTTTCTTTCTTTCTTTCTACTTTTTCTCCCTTTTATTCTGAGCTGTATGAATGAAAGGCTCTTGGTACTGCAGCCAGGAGTCAGTGCTGTGCCTCTGAGGTGGGAGAACTAACTTCAGGACACTGGTCCACAAGAGACCTCCCAGCTCCACGTAATATCAAACGGCGAAAATCTCCCAGAGATCTCCATCTCAACACCAACACCCAGCTTCACTCAACGACCAGCAAGCTACAGTGCTGGACACCCTATGCCAAACAACTAGCAAGACAGGAACACAAACCCACCCATTATCAGAGAGGCTGCCTAAAATCATAATAAGTCCACAGACACCCCAAAACACATCACCAGACGTGGACCTGCCCACCAGAAAGACAAGATCCAGCCTCATTCACCACATCACAGTCACTAGACCCATCCACAAGGAAGCCTACACAACCCACTGAACCAACCTTAGCCACTGGGGACAGACACCAAAAACAATGGGAACTATGAACCTGCAGCCTGCAAAAAGGAGACCCCAAACATAGTAAGATAAGCAAAATGAGAAGACAGAAAAGCACACAGCAGATGAAGGAGCAAGCTAAAAACCCACCAGACCTAACAAATGAAGAGGAAATAGGCAGTCTACCTGAAAAAGAATTCAGAGTAATGATAGTAAAGATGATCCAAAATCTTGGAAATAGAATAGAGAAAATGCAAGTAACATTTAACAAGGACCAAGAAGAACTAAAGATGAAACAAGCAATGATGAACAACACAATAAATGAAATTAAAAATACTCTAGAAGGGATCAGTAGCAGTATAACAGAGGCAGAAGAAAGGATAAGATAAAATAGTGGAAATAACTACTGCGGAGCAGAATAAGGAAAAAAGAATGAAAAGAACTGAGGGCAGTCTCAGAGACCTCTGGGACAACATTAAATGCACCAACATTCGAATCATAGGGGTTCCAAAAGAAGAAGAGAAAAAGAAAGGGACTGAGAAAATATTTGAAGAGATTATAGTTGAAAACTTCCCTAATATGGGAAAGGAAATAGGTAGTCAAGTCCAGGAAGCACAGAGAGTCCCATACAGGATAAATCCAAGGAGAAACACGGCAAGACACATATTAATCAAACTATCAAAAGTTAAATACAAAGAAAACATATTAAAAGCAGCAAGGGCAAAATAACAAATAACACACAAGGAAATTCCCATAAGGTTAACAGCTGATCTTTCAGCAGAAACTCTGCAAGCCAGAAGGGACTGGCAGGACATATTTAAAGTGATGAAGGAGAAAAACCTACAACCAAGATTACTCTACCCAGCAAGGATCTCATGCAGATTTGATGGAGAAATTAAAACCTTTACAGACCAGCAAAAACTGAGAGAGTTCAGCACCACCAAACCAGCTTCACAACAAATGCTAAAGGATCTTCTCTAGGCAAGAAACACAAGAGAAGGAAAAGACCTATAATAACAAACCCAAAACAATTAAGAAAATGGGAATAGGAACATACATATCGATAATTACCTTAAATGTAAATGGATTAAATGCTCCCACCAAAAGACACAGACTGGTTGAATGGATACAAAAACAAGACCCATATATATACTGTCTACAAGCGACCCACTTCAGACCTAGAGACACATACAGACTGAAAGTGAGGGGATGGAAAAAGATACTCCATGCAAATGGAAATCAAAAGAAAGCTGGAGTAGCAATTGTCATATCAGACAAAACAGACTTTAAAATAAAGACTATTATGAGAGACAAAGAAGGACACTACATAATGATCAAGGGATCGATCGAAGAAGAAGATATAATAATTGTAAATATTTATGCACCCAACATAGGAGCACCTCAATACATAAGGCAAATATTAACAGCCATAAAAGGAGAAGTCGACAGTAACACATTCATAGTAGGGGACTTTAACACCCCACTTTCACCAACGGACAGATCATCCAAAATGAAAATAAATAGGGACACAAGCTTTAAATGATACATTAAACAAGATGGACTTAATTGATATTCCATCGCAAAATAACAGAATACACATTTTTCTCAAGTGCTCATGGAACATTCTCCAGGATAGATCATATCTTGGGTCACAAATCAAGCCTTGGTAAATTTGAGAAAATCGAAATTATATGAAGTATCTTTCCCTACCACAACGCTATGAGACTAGATATCAATTACAGGAAAAGATCTGTGAAAAATACAAACACATGGAGGCTAAACAATACACTACTTAATAACGAAGTGATCACTGAAGAAATCAAAGAGGAAATCAGAAAATACCTAGAAACAAATGACAATGGAGACACGACGGCCCAAAACCAATCGGTTGCAGCAAAAGCAGTTCTAAGAGGGAAGTTTATAGCGATACAATCCTACCTTAAGAAACACGAAACATCTCAAATAAACAACCTAACCTTGCACCTAAAGCAATTAGAGAAAGAAGCACAAAAAAACCCCAAAGTTAGCAGAAGGAAAGAAATCATAAAGATCAGAGCAGAAATAAATGAAAAAGAACTGAAGGAAACGAGAACAAAGATCAGGAAAAATAAAAGCTGGTTCCTTGAGAAGATAAACGAAATTGATAAACCATTAGCCAGACTCATCAAGAAAAAAAGGGAGTAGACCCAAATCAATAGAATTAGAAATGAAAAAGGAGAAGTAACAACTGACACTGCAGAAATACAAAAGATCATGAGAGGTTACTACAAGCAACTCTATGCCAATAAAATGGACAACCTGGAAGAAATGGACAAATTCTTAGAAATGCACAACCTGCCAAGACTGAATCAGGAAGAAATAGAAAATATAAACAGACCAATCACAAGCACTGAAATTGAAACTGTGATTAGACATCTTCCAACAAACAAAAGCCCAGGACCAGATGGCTTCACAGGTGAATTCTTTCAAACATTTAGAGAAGAGCTAACACCTATCCTTCTGAAACTATTCCAAAATATAGCAGAGGGAGGAACACTCCCAAACTCATTCTACGAGGCCACCATCACCATGATACCAAAACCATACAAGGATGTCACAAAGAAAACTACAGGCCAGTATCTCTAATGAACATAGATGCAAAAATCCTCAACAGAATACTAGCAAACAGAATCCAACAGCACATTAAACGGATCATACATCATTATCAAGTGGGGATTATCCCAGGAATGCAAGGATTCTTCAATATACGCAAATCAATCAATGTGATACACCATATTAACAAATCAAAGGAGAGAAACCATATGGTCATCTCAATAGATGCAGAGAAAGCTTTCGACAAAATTCAACACCCATTTATGATAAAAACCCTCTAGAAAGTAGGCAGAGAGGGAACTTTCCTCATCATAATAAAGGCCATATATGGCAAACCCACAGCCAACAACATCCTCAATGGTGAAAAACTGATAGCATTTCCACTAAGATCAGGAACAAGACAAGGTTGCCCACTCTGACCACTCTTATTCAACATAGTTTTGGAAGTTTTAGTCACAACATCAGAGAAGAAAAGGAAATAAAAGGAATCCAAGCTGGAAATGAAGAAGTAAAGCTGTCACTGTTTGCAGATGACATGATACTATACATAGAGAATCCTAAAGATGCTACCAGAAAACTACTAGAGCTAATCAATGACTTTGGTAAAGTAGGAGGATACAAAATTAATGCACAGAAATCTCTGGCATTCCTCTACAGTAATGATGAAAAATCTGAAAGTGAAATCAAGAAAACATTCCCATTTACCATTGCAACAAAAAGA